AAGTAGTAGTGAGATAAAAGAAACTCGGCATCAACCACTGGAAAAAGGACACGAGTTTTTGGATTCAAGTGATACCAGCTCAGATGAAGATGACGTTGCCACTATGCAAAGAAAAACAATGAAATCTCCAAAACAGAGGCAAAGAGAGGTTCACCAAAGTCCACCAAAGAAACAAACCCATACAACAGCTAAAGGAAATGCCAGATTAAATGTTAAAGAGGATGATTCGAGTGAAGACAGCAGTTCAGATGTAAGTGACATTATAATACCAAGCTGGAAGACCCCAACGCAGAAACCTTCAATTCAGGTGAGTGGACCTTCTTTTAAGATAACCAGTTGAATTTCTCCTCTTTTTCTTTCCTTTCATGTCTTCTTAAATTTTGTAGGATGAAAGTTTGCATGATCGAAACTGCTTCGAAAACCTGAGTAAATTGATGATGATACCAAAGATTTGCTGTCCATTGTTTCCTGCTCCCAGTTTAACCAGAATTAGCATTCTGTGACAATATTTTTGAATAGCAAAAAATTTACTGTATTTTTAAAAAAGTCAAAGGAAAGAATCCTATGATGTTATACCTGTTTTTTTTTTTTTTCCTACAGAGAGAAGAGAGTTCAGAAGACTTTGATTCAGATGATTAAGCAAAGGAGAGGTATTGGGACAGAAAGGAATTAAGGAGTCAGGTAGAGTAAACTATATGTGATAAGAAAAGTTGTAAAATGTTTTCTTTTTTTCTTTTACTAGACAAAGACATGATATGACAAATTACTCCTAAGTTGCAATAGTTTTTTTTTTCCAATATATCCAAAGCTCATTGATAAAATCATTACAGTTACATTTGTGAATGGGAAGTTTATTGTCATTGTGAAAATGATTGATTCATCATTATTTTTATTGTTGTCACTTTTAGTATTAGTTGGGATTAGTGTCATAATTGAGGACACTTGTTCATACATTTATGTTCTGAATAATCTTTTTCATTGTTTCATTTATCCCAAACAGTATGCAAAAAATACAACATTACTTTTAATATGTTACTGCCCCTATCATACGATGATGTTTAGTTTGTTTTTAAAGACTAAGAAATTATTGGTTTCCAGTTTCTTGATATCCTGTTAGTTCATTTTTAAGGACTAACAATATTGATTTTCAGTTTTTATTTAGTTTCTTGTTTTCCTCAAACCTTTTTATATACATTATATTTTAGTGTATATGTAATCAGTGATTAAAGGATTTATGGTCACTGAAATCCATTATTGTCTACATTGTAAAAATGTCATTTTTATGGACATTTGTAAGAGAAGTTGTAAGTTTATTAAAAATAAAAGTTTTTTTCTTTTCTGTATTTAATGCCCTCAATACTGTGTCAACTGTGAAAACCTAGTAATATGATATATGTATAAGAAATAATAACTACTGTGTGCCTTGAAAAATTATTTCTTGCTTTAGAAACTTTATTTTTTTTTTTCCATGAATGCATTCTTTACCTGAACATAAGGAAGAACTTCCCTTAGGAAGATGAAAACCATTGGAAACACTGTGAAAAGAAAATCCACTATTTTCATCCACGAGGGTCCCCTCGGTGAGCTGCCAGACGAAGGGAAGGCTCATCCAAGCTCCCTCATTACAGAATTGAATCATTTGTGCAAGCCACTTTCTCGGTCGTTACACTAGCCATATCCACCCAGGGTTGTCTCTGTAGACCTTATTAGGGAAATGAGCTAAATGATTTGGATGTCTTAGATTGTGCAAATAAGCAGGTTCCATGCTTTTTGCACAGTGCAAAAATTGATTGGATACATTCTCTAGTGCAATGACCTGCAAAATGCATACAAACTCTACTCCAAGGTACAACCATAGAGCTGAACTGGCAATACCAGGGCCTGCAGACATGTTGCATGGTTCTTTTCTGCAGGAACTAGTATGTATATACCTGATGCCGGGCCAATTTGTCAGTATATTTCATGGTCTTCACAGTCCAGGGTCATGAACACACTGCCTATATATGTAAACTGAATGACTTTGATGCCAAGCAAAACTAATTTTGCTTGATCTTTTCTTCTCTTCTTTCTTTCTATCCCATTCCTAATTTGCGAAAGCCGTGTCTAAAGGATGAAAGACTGGCTTTGTGTCAGTCATAAACGGCCTCCGGGAGCCATGGGCACGGTATTCCTTTGGTTAATTGCCTAGCCCTTACCCCTTATGGGGCTTATGGGGAGCCTGAGGGGTAGACCGTTTCTTTTCCTCATTTTTTTCAGGCTCACCATGGCCAATAATGAGGAACCTTTACCCTTAATAGGAGCATTAAGGCTTGCCCCTTCATCAACTAGCCTATCTTAATTTGATCTTGATGGTTTTCTGACCCCTGCCCCTCCTTTGACCACGGTTTCGACCACTGATAATAATACCCCCTCTTCGACGCGTACTGACAACTTTATCCAATCCAAAACACCCACCCAGGTTATTACTCAACCTCCAGAAAGCACCCCTTCCTCTCTCCCAACATTCTCCTCCTCCAGCTCCTATGCCACTGTCCTCTTCAATATATACCTCCCTCTTCCATTATTACTACTATTCATATATATTGTCCTCCCCCCGCCTACTCCACTCCACACCACCCCATCTTCTCTCACCCCCGTCCTTCTACTGCCTCTACCTCTGCAAACCTTTTGAGTAATCTCTTTGTATTCTGAGAATACAATTCTCTTTCAACAGTGCCTCCAATAACAAGTAGGCAAGGTTACCTTCGCAGTCCCTCTGATCGTTCACGCCTTATTACAATTAGAGTACGTCCACACCAGTGACAAAACATGGTAGGAACATTAAGACTGACAAGTTGGGTAACAAGTTGTTAAGTCGTTTAGGAACATCGTAGTAGAAAAGTTGATACGGATTTGTTGGGCGACATGTTAGCAGTCCTGGTGTGGACGAGGTGATGTCGTCAGACCTCTCCCACCAACCAACTAACGAACATGGTGTGGACAGTTTCACCATGTCGACTCTTGTTGCTGACATGTCTCAACTCTCAACAGATATGTTCCCATGCATATCAGGAGATTTGTATCCGAATGTCTCCAATTGTGTCCCCCACAATGTTTCCAATTTATATCCAAGCAACATGTCCCTGGTGTGGACGCACCCTTACATCTGAATCCCAAGCTCGTGCACTATCTACCCTAACTGACCTTACTGGCAAACCCATTCCTGCCGAACCTCACTCCTCTCTTAATACTTGTACTGGAACTGTTTCAAATCCCCCCAAATGCTTGTATCTACCCCCCCCCCCCTCCCCAATCCCTTGCCCGTTGTTGTCGTAGGGGCTTAGGAGACGGACACTGAGACCCAATGCAGGGATCTCCCCTGTCTAGGGCCTCTGCCCTCGACTCAACTAATTTTGCAAGGTCTTTTCCCCCTCCAGCTTTTTGTTTCCGCCCCTTCTCCAACCCCTTCTACTATCTACTTCCTAAGGTGTAAGAGCCGTGCTGAGAGGAGGAAAGGCTGACCTTGTGCCAGTCCTGAACGGCCTGCGGGAACTATGGGCACGGTACTCCCGACTAATCTAGCCCTTACCTTCAGTAGCGAAAGGAGGTGGACCGTTTAGGCCTATTTACATAATCCAGGTTCCCCATGACCAGTAATGAAAATGTAATCCCTTTATTAGAGGCAATGAGGCTAGCCCCTTTATCAAATAGCCCCAACCCAGGCTCTCCTTTGACCACGCTTCGAACACAAACTACTACCCACTCCTAATGCCTACTAGTGCATTACCCACCCAAGCAGAGAATCAATCTCCAGAAGACATTCTTACCCACCCAACTTCCTCAAATTCACTCTACCCCTGCAACCTTCATCAAACAACCATCCTCCCTTATTACTACCTTGCAACCTTATTCTCCATCATTCCGTAATACTCTCTTTCCACACGTCCCCGACCATCCACCACCACCAACCCTACAGATATCTTAAATACTCTGTTAGCCCAGCTAAATGGGACCGATTTTTCGTGATCCCTTCTACAGCTCCTTACTCAGGCAACACTCTTCTCTTTCAACAATGCCTCCAAAAACAAGTAGGCAGAGTCCTTTTCTATACCAGACGCGATCGCTCCCGTCTGGTTACAGTCAGATCAGAAACTGAATCTATAGCACTATCAAATTTAACTGATCATTCTGGCAACCCCATTCCTGCAGAACCTCATCCAACCCTTAATACCTGTACCGGAACTGTCTTTCTCTCCCCAGCAAACTGCCCAGTCGATACCAAAGATTGGTGAGACTGTGGAGAAGACTTATTAGGATGCCTCAAAGACCAGGATGTGAAATCAGTACATTGCTACACCATTCCTCCTAGAGGTCAACGAAAGAATCCGACCAACATTGCCAAAATTACTTTCCGTACACATGACCTTCCCTTACGTATCTACATTGGTGGACAATCCCTCCCTGTTCGACCATACCAACCCCCTCCCCGTCAATGTCAAAACTGTTGGCGCTTTGGACATCCTGCCAAACATTGCCGTTCCACAGACCGATGCCCCATATGTGCCCAACCTGGTCATAATCGATCAAACTGCTCAGCACAAACACGAACATGTGCTAACTGCAGCGGCCCCCATAATGCATTTTATAGAGGCTGTTTTAACTATTTTCAACCACATATGGACGTCAGGAAATTTTCCTTCTCATTGGCGAGATGCTCTTATCCTAGCTTTCTTAAAACCCAATAAATCAGGTACCCTACCCCGCCCCATTGCTCTAACTAGCTGCTTGTGCAAACTACTAGAACGAATGGTTAACTTCCGCTTAATGTGGTATCTTGAATCTCATAATCTCCTTTCCCCTTCCCAGTTTGGTTTCCGACGTGCCCGAAGTACAGCAGACCTACTTGCCCATTTCGAGACATATTACATCTGCATTTGCACGCCATGAATCCGTATTAGCCATATTCTTTGATCTAGAAAAAACATATGATACCACATGGCGGTACCATATCCTCCAACAAT